CAGTAAAATCTTGCTTGCATGTGAAATCAGTGAGATTGTTCTGTAGTTTCCACATTCTGTTGGGTCACCTTTCTTTGGGATAGGAACAAATATAGATCCCTTCCAGTCAGTTGGCCAAGTGGTCGTTCTCCAGATTTCTTGGCACAACTTGGTGAGCCCCCAATCCCCTTCTGCACTCACTCACTCACTGTCTCTGTCCCTTCCCCAGGCCAATATCTGCAGCACTTTCATCCCTGTGTACTGTGGCCTCATCCCTCCCTCCCTCCAAGGTGTGGTGAGTGTCCCTGTCTGGCTTGACCTGGGGGTACATTTTATGGGTGACAAGAGCTGGCCTATGGCTGTGAAGTAGGAGAAGGCGCTAGAGGGAGAAGGTGCTGTGGTTGCCTATTGCCTCACGTCCTGGTTACTCAAGAGGTGATGGCCCCAAGGAGGTGCTTCCTGAGGTCCCCTTACCGGCTGCTCAGGCCAACACAGCCAGTGCCCAGTGGGTGAAAGGTGGCAACTGGGGGCCTGGTGGTGGAAGTCAGCGTGGCCTGTAGGCTTCTCACCCCTGGTCTGCTGGGCTTGCAGAGGTATGTGGATGGCGGCATCTCGGACAACCTGCCGCGCTATGAGCTCAAGAACACCATCACTGTGTCCCCCTTCTCGGGCGAGAGCGACATCTGCCCCCAGGACAGCTCTACCAACATCCATGAGCTGCGTGTCACCAACACCAGCATCCAGTTCAACCTGCGTAATCTCTATCGGCTCTCCAAGGCCCTGTTCCCCCCGGAGCCCATGGTGAGCTGCTCCGGCCTCTACACTCGTCACAGGGCCCGGGAGTGTGAGCAGCCGGCTGCTGAGAAGCCTGGCCTTGCAGCTCCCAACCCTCAAGGATCCTGGGTGAGGTGGGGTGCCCACAGCCTCCTTCCAGAGGTTCAAGGGTGGGGTAGAGTCCTTCCAGCCTTTCCTGGGGGCCCAGGGCCTGCACAGCCTCTCCCCTGGGCAGGCACTGTGGACACAGCATCCCTCCCAGTCTGCAGGACAAGTGAGTGTGGCTGGGAGCTGAGGGTATTTGCGGGCACAGACTGCAGGATGGCACATGTGGGGGCTTCCTGCAACTTGGCTACCACCCTGTCTCTCTCAGGTGCTGCGTGAGCTGTGCGAGCAGGGATACAGGGACGGGCTGCGCTTCCTACGGAGGAACGGTGTGTGTGTGCGCGCGTGTGTGTGCGCGTGTCCTGCCTCCCCTCCCCGTGGAGACTGAAACCAGGGTGAAGTGACCCAGCTTGGCCCTGCTGCCACCTGCTGGCCATCACTGACCATGCTAATCTGCATCCTCCCTTCCCTAGGTCTCCTGAACCAGCCCAACCCCCTGGCAGCTCTGCCACCTGCCCTCCCCCGCCCCCCTGAGGATGAGCGCACTCAGGCCGAGGGGAGGGTCACTGCGGAGGACCACATCCTGGAGCACCTCCCAGTCAGGGTCAATGAGGGTGTGTGTGCAGGAGGGCGGAGAGGAGGGACGGGCACCTGCTGCCCTGCGGGTGGCTGACCTTCCTCCATGCGTCCATAGCCCTGCTGGCGGCCTGTGTGGAGCCCAAGGACTTTCTGACCACCTTCTCCAACATGCTCCCTGTGCGCCTGGCCACTGCCATGATGGTGCCCTACACGCTGCCTGTGGAGAGCGCTGTGTCCTTCACCATCCGGTAAGCTTGGGCACTGGGTTCATCCACTCGCCATAATCACTGGGAAGGGACACGTGAAGATGCCGAAGAGGGATGCTGACGGGGCCAGTGTGGGGGGAACCTGGCGGTGCCCCGAGACCGTGCCTCCCCCCACAGCCTGCTGGAGTGGCTGCCTGACGTCCCTGAGGACATCCGGTGGATGAAGGAGCAGACAGGTAGCATCTGCCAGTACTTGATGATGCGTGCCAAGAGGAAGCTGGGCAGCCACCTGCCCTCCAGGTGAGCAGCCCCTGCCTGCTGGTAGCCCCTTGGCCCATAGCTCCAGGCTCGGGCCCCGGTCAGACAGCCTCCCTTGCTCTCTACCACAGGCTAACAGAGCAGGTGGAGCTCCGCCGTGCCCAGTCACTGCCCTCGGTGCCACTGTCGTGCGCCACCTACAGTGAGTCGCTGCCCGACTGGATGCGCACCAGCCTCTCCCTGGGGGACACGCTGGCCAAGTGGGAGGAGTGCCAGCGGCAGCTGCTGCTCGGACTTTTCTGCTCCGACTCAGCCTTCCCACCTGACGCCCTGTGCATGCGCGCACCTCCTGAGCCCACCGTAGCACCCCCCCAGCACCCGCCGGGCCTGCCCCCGTGCTGAGCCCACCCAGCCTTCTTCAGCCCCCCTGGGTCCCGATGCTGAGGGCTGGAGTGACCTGCCCAGTGAGGCAGCACCTTGGGGTCGGCTGAGGGCCCTCAGCATTTCTCTCAAGTTGCTGAGTGAGGGTGTGAGGCCCTCCCACTGCAGAGGGGCACTGGCTGCGACTTCCCCCAGAAACCACTCACTGCTGCACTGAGTGGGGGTGCAGATGGGCCCCCACAGATGCCTGTCACCTATGCCTTAACCTCCCCATTCATCCCCTCCCAGCCAGGCCTCAAGTTGGGGGATTGGGGCTTCTGACCTGCAACCCCATCCCACGGTGTACTATTGCCCCTGCACCCCTCCCTCCCCTTGCATTTGCTGAAGAACGTGTGTCAAGAATTATTTATTTTCACCAAAACAGATTGAATAAAGGCCACAGTTCAGCCCTGCCTCTTTCTTTTGTCCGTGGTCCCCACCATTACAAAGTTCTGATGACAGAGCTGGACTGCTCCTCCTCCAGGTGACTTGGCTCCAAGGACCATGTCACTTGGGATCTGCAGGCCGAGCCAGCACCCCTTTAAGGACACCTCCTGCTCCTATCTGCACACATGTCCCAAAACCTGCTGACTTGGCCCTGGGCACAGCCCCTCCCCACGGACAAGTGGCAATATTGGGGACCAGAATCCTGCATAATAAACCTATGTAATGTTTACAAAAGGTGGTGCTGTCCAGCTGCTCCCACTCCAGGTGACCTGAAGGGTGTGAGCAAATCCTGGGTGGAACAGCAGTGGGGAGGCCCCCAGAGTGCGGGCACCTGTCCCCACCCAGGACACCTGGCTGAGTGCAAGGTTCTCTCCTTTTGCTCCCGTATCATACCATCTATCCCCCCATCCCCGCACCTGCCAGTCCAGGAGGGTTCTAGGATGCCATGGGGGAGAGCTGAGCATCATTCTCTGCGGAGACAAAGGATGTGCCACTCTGCCTAACAAAAGGACCCCAGAGGTGAGGGTTTGGGTGGGTATCCAGAACTCAGGCCTGTGGGGTTCAGCCCTCCGCCTCCCCGAAAGGTGTGGTATGGCTGTGGTGACAGCTGAGAGCCAACAATAACGGTAATGGGACGTAGGACCAGACTGGGAGAGCCGGCCCAGCAGGTCCCCTGGTCCCCGTGCCAGCGTCCAGCCCCCTCTCACTCTCAAGGTCTCCACTGATAGGCCCAGGCTGCTAGTTCAGCTGGATCCCAAGGCCCCTGTCCTTGAGAATAGATCTGAGTCCCCAGGGAGACCAAACCCTCCAGGTAGGTGCTGCATGGGGTGGGAGATGTCTCAAAGAGGAGAGGGGCATGCCCCCCCCACTTTCACCAAGAGGATTACACTCAGGGTCCCCTGCTCCTCCCCAAGGGGAACTCAGGGTGGGGGTGTCCCACAGGAGTCGCTGGGCATGCTGCTGACGGGGTGGGGGGGACCCACCATCACAGGCTACAAACACCACTTTCCAAGATTGCAAATTTACTGTTAGAAAGTTAGGTAAGCAGGAGTGAAAAGGTTTGACAGGAAAAGCCATCGCCTCCGGCCCCGGGAGCCGCTGAGAACAGTTTGGGCCATTCCTGTGCCTCTTGTCTACGCACTTGGTGACGCCTCACGTCGGGATCCCGAGCACAGGGTGACCGCGCGCCCGAGAGGCGGCCCGGGCCCTCTCCGGGAGGGTCGCAGGTCCCGGGGCGGGAGGGGGCTGGCATCGCCGCCTCCCGCTCAGGCCTGCCAGCAGGAGGGCGAAGAGTGCCAGCAGCGTCTGGTTGCGGGCTTGGGGGTCGAGTGCAGGCCACTGGCCGGGTGGGGTGTGGGGCCGGGCGTCCCAGACGCGCCAAGAGGCGGAGGCAAGACGACAGCGAGGAGCGCGGACTCCGCCCGCAGGCAGAGCCTCGGGGGGCTCGGTGGCGGCCGGGGCACGCGCGCTCGGGGTCCTCGCAGGCAGGACGGGGCGCGCTGCGCGTTTCCGGGAGCAGCCGGCAGGTGCGGCGGCGCAGATGTCTGTCCACTCACCTGCTCAGGCGCATGACTGCCCGGGCCACGGTCGGGAGCTGCAGGCCCACGGGTCCCCCCCGGCCCTCGCGCCTCCTCCCCGGGCCGCAGGGAGCTCAGCTTCCGCCGAGACGGCAGGACGGTGACTAGGCTTGGGTGAGGTCACGGGCAGCCAGGGGGATCGTCCGGCACTTCCTGTGCACTGTCCCTCTTCCTCGGACCTGACGCCTCCTGAGACTTGCTCCCCTTGGAGGTCCAGCCCTTAGTGACCATGGAGAGAGAAGCAGGGCTCATTTGAAGGAGAGAGGACCCCAGGGCCCCTAGCCACCACGCGGCGGGCGCCGGGGGTGTCGCCATCCTGGGGGCTCTTTGGAAAATCCGGCTGGGGCCTTGTGGGAACGACAGGTGTCGGCAATCAGTGGGCGGGGCCTCCCTGGGGAGGTTCCAGGATATGGAAGCAAGTCTGGGGGAGGCGGGCTGAGCCCTATTCTGGGGTTGGTTCCAAGTAAAGGCAAGGTGGGGTGCACTCAGGCCTGGACCTGCCACACCTGCGCCCCGGAGCCGGGTCGGCGGGGTGAGGGCCCTGCAAGCCGGCTGGAGGCGAGGTAGCTCCGGCTGACCACAGCTCACCCGGGCTTCTCTCACAGTGCCGCCCTCGTGGTCTCCACAGACTTTCCATCTTAAGCTCTTCTGTAGCCACTTTCCCTGGAGGTGCACCCTTTCCTGCAAGCCCCCTCATGATTTCAGGTCCCCATGTACCAGAGCCACACTGGGCTGGGCCTCTCCTAAAGACTGCCCCAGCAGTGCCCCCAGGGACGACCAGGTGGTCAGAGAGGGTGCTGCTAGCTGCTCCTCACCTTTCCGCAGCACACGACCTCCTGCAGGCCTTCCTTTCTCCCTTCACAGCACCACTGGGACCCATGGCCAGTTCTGGGCTGTCGGGGACTGGAGAAGACCAGGAGGAGGCAGAGGAGGTGGCCTGCCCGGGCGCCCCTGTGGCAATGATGCTGGAGCAGGCCCAGGAGTTGTTTCTGCTGTGTGACAAGGAGGCCAAGGGCTTCATTACACGACATGACCTGCAGGTGAGCCCCACCTGCCCCAGGGAATGCCTGAGATTCTGCCTGCTGGAGGCCCGGCCTTTACATAAGTCCCTTGCTCCCAGAGCTTACAAGGTGACCTGCCCCTCACACCTGAGCAGCTGGAGGCTGTCTTTGAGAGTCTGGACCAGGCCCACACTGGCTTCCTCACCGCTCGGGAGTTCAGGCTTGGCCTGGGTGAGTCCAGAAGACCTGCATCTGGCATGTGGGGGTCGGTATGCACTGGGATCCACCTTGTCCCCTCCTCCAGAGCCTCAGACACATCCACCGGAGACCCTAGGGCCTCTACTCTCTCTCTTGGGACAAAGCGAGGTGGCTGTGAGCTGGGCATGCCCCTTTTCTGGATGGAGTACAATGATCACCTCCTATTCCCAGGCCAACTGAGCCAGATGAGGAAGAAAAACAGGAAGCTGGGTTCAGAACTCTGTGTGTGAGAATTAGTGAGTGGGAACACAGATGGAGAGGAAGGCGGGTCCTAGGTAATTCCTTCCTCCTGCGCCCACAGGCAAGTTTGTGGGTGAAGAGTCGGCCCAAGGCTCACTGCCCTCCAGGGCCACCGAAGAAACGTTTGAGTCTCGGGACCCGAGGGGCTCCCTGGAGGAGGAGGACGACGAAGAGCGATTCTGTGCTACACTGGAACAGCTTGGGGTGTCCCGTGTCCTGGGCGAGTGAGTCCCTTCCTGACTGTCCAGCTTGTCTGTACCCTAGCGGAGGGCCTAGGTGGAGCTGCAAATCCTAGGAAGGGCACTGTGATTTCCCACAATATTTGCATCTTGGGAGGTGGCGGCCCGCTGCTGGGCAGGGAAGCAGGGCCCTCCCAGCGCCAGGAGCGGCCACGCAGCTCACGTACACATAACACCCCACCACGCACAGCCGCGCCACACCAAACCCCAAGGCAGACGCGATAGCTCGGACTGGACGTGACCCACGAGCACATGGCCAAAGTTCTCCGAAGGTGTGTGCAGGCTGCCCTCCCTCTGGGGTTCAGCTTCACTTCCACTCCCTGTGTTATTCCAGGCAGCCGGCGGTGCGGGCGCTCTGGGCCTCGCTACAGAGTGTGCGACCCGAACTGCTGGGCTGCTTCGAGGACGTCCTGATGCGCGCATCCGCCTGCTTGGAGGAGTCGGCCCGGGAACGGGATGGCCTGGAGCAGGCGCTACGGCGGTGAGGGCTGGGGGCTGCAGCCCGTGGGACCTAGCGCCAGAGGGGTTACAGGCTGAAGTCCTAATCAGTCCTCTTCCTCCAAGGCGGGAGAGCGAGCACGAGAGGGAGGTGCGCTGCCTGTACGAGGAGATGGAGCAGCAGCTTCGCGAGGAGCGCCAACGCCAGCGCGCTCAGGTGAGCCGCCCCCGCCCCCTACGCGCTCAGGCGGTCCCGCCCCCTAGGCCTCTAATGGTCGCTCCCCCGCCCACTACGCGCTCAGATGAGCCCGCCCCACGCCCCTCTATGCGCTCAGGTGAGCCCGCCCCTTGCCTCCATAAGCGCACAGGTGGGCCCGCAGCCCCGCCCCCCACCCCCGCTCACTGGTGGGCCCGCAGCCATACCCTCTCCTCAGATGAGCCCACAAAAACTTATCTGGGCCCCACCTGTGTTGTTCACCTGGCCTCACCTGCTCTGTCCGCCGCGTCCTTGCTCTTCGACTTGGCATTTCCCTACCTATTCCAGGACCTCCCCAGGCAGGAAAGGAGAGGTCGCCTGGAGCAGGAACTGCAGAGTCGTGAGCTGGAGTTGGAGCGCGCGGGCCTGCGGCAGAGGGAGGTGCGTGACCCTGCATGGGCCCTGCCCGCCGCTGCCACGCGCTTTGCGGGGCAGGGGTCTGCTGTGTGTCCCGTCTCCAGAACTGTTGGTCATCCGCAAGGCAGCCTTGCCAGGGAGAGGGGCTTTCCCACCAGCCAGCTTACCCCTCAACCCTCGCAGCTGGAGCAGCAGCTGCAGACCCGGACCGCGGAGCAGCTGGAGGCTCAAGCCCAGAACGTCCAGCTGTGGCTGGCCAACGAGGCGCTGCGGACACAGCTGGACAGAACTCAGGAGGAGCTCCGCAGGCTGGAGGGCGACGCGCGAGGTCGTCGGGAGCAAACCCGACGGTGCGTAGGTGCTTGGGGGCCTCATGAGGCGGTTCTAGGCTGGCCCCCTTCGTCTTCTCCTTGTTCCAGTCCCACCCTTTTCCCTGCCGAGGTTTCGCTGAGGAAGGGTTCCTGGGCACCATCCTGTCCACTTCCCACTGCAGGGACGTGGTCGTGGTCTCCGGGAACATGCAGAAAGAGAAGCTGAGCCTCCTGCGGCAGCTAGCGCTCCTCAGGTGCGAGGATGGGCTCCAAGCCAGCAAGCTGGTGCAGCGGGGGGCCTCCTCTCCCTTACCCTTTCCTGGGGGGGAAGTTCTATCTAATGTCTGCCCTCCATCCTTCATGCTGCATCCCCAGCCAGATACATCTCTCCTGACCAAGGGGAAACTAGCGGTCACTGTACCACACAAGACAGCTGCAACTTGATATGTGACCGCTCAGAGTCTTAGACAGCCCCTCTTCCACAGGGAGCTGAACACCAGGCTGCGTGACGAGAGGGATGCCTGTGAGGCCAAATGGCTGGGCAGTGGCGGGAGAAAGGCCCAGCCCACGGCGCGCCTGCAGGGGCCTGTTGGGTGCTATTGCTGCGGCAGCTGGGTGCGCCCAGCCCGCCGAGGCTCTGGTCATCTGCCCAGTGCCCGCTGACTCACTGGGCGTTACCTGGAGCTTGGTCACAGCTAGGCTGCCCACCAGGATGTGGGTTCCACCCATGGGCTGCCTGAACACAGATATGAAGGGACAGCGGGAGTTGGGAGGATTGGTGGTGGTGTTGGCTGGAGCTGGCCTTCACCCTGTTCTCTCCCCCCAATAAAATTGGTGGCTGCCTTCTGGCTTTCCGGTGACATGAGCACAGGGGACACGCGTCTGGCACATATACTGCCCTGGCCGCACTGCAGACTGGCCCTCAGTGCTTGGGCCAACATTCCTGCTTGTCCTCTGCATGTCCCTGTCCATGACAAAGTGCTATTGTCCATTAAAGCACATGTTTCAGAGATCCTCTGTGCCGCTCAGGACACCAGGGTGGGGTTTCCTGCCTGGTCCCCACTTCGTTTTGCTCACATTGTCTGGGAGGGGCCGCTATTGTCCCGTGTCAGGAAGTCCTTAGCGGAGCCTCCCTGAAGTGACACCCCCCTTTTCCTGTCTTGCTTGAGCTGGGAAGGGACAGTCCTGCCCACTGTCATGCAGAGCGGTGTGGACCCAGGCCTGGCCAACGCTGAGGGGGGTTCTAAGGAAGTCCCACTGATCACCAGGCCTTCACTCTTCTCCCTGAGTCCCAGGTCCACTCCCAGGCCCTTACGGGCTCCAAGCCGCCCTTCCTCGGTGTTGGGCGGGGCCTTGGAGAGACAAATTTATGCAGAGGGCGTGGCCTCGGAGCGTAGGGCGGGAACAAGCTACTGTGCAGAGGGCGGGGTGTAGGGCTGAGGGCGTGGATTTCGAGCGAGGGGTGTGGCCTCCGGGCGTAGTGCTGTGCGGGGAGGCGTGGTCTTTAGGTGGAGTGGAGCGAAAGGGGCGTGACCTCCGGGCACGGGGCGTGGCCGCGGGGCGCCGGGCGGCTCCCTCCGGTCCTCCCGGCTGTGCAGTCTCAGCTCCCGGAGCCTCCGCCCCCGCAAGTCGCCCGCGCGCCTGAGCCGGGACCTGGACGCGTGGCCGGTGAGTGCGCGGGCAGCCAGGCCGGCTGGGGGCCCCTCGGCGGGGCGCCGGCCCCAGATTCCCGCCCGGCGCGGCCCGGGGGACCGGGTGCAGACGCCGGGAAGGTGCGCCCGCTGGATTATGCCCTGGAGGCCTCGCTGGTCCTTCCGGAGCAGGACGCGCAGGCCAGTGGGCGGGCCGAGGGCGCGCAGGGCGCGGGGCGCGGGGCGGGTCCTCGGCAGCCCTGGCGGCCTTTCGGGCAGGCCTGGGAAAGGGCAGCCGAGCGCCCCTTTGTCCTCGGACGCCGGCCCCCTCCCTTGGGCCGCAGGCCCGCTCCCCGCCCAGTGCTGGTCATTGGCCTCGCCCCGAGGAGGTGGCCGCCGCGGTGACTTCATCGCGGTGACACGGGGACTCCAGCGGCCTGGCGAGAGGGCTCGGAGGTCCCTGCTTCGTGACGGCTCAGGGCCTAGGGTGGGGCCGTCCAGTTCCGGCTGCAGGAGCTATTTCTGGCGTTCCCACCCCTGCTCTCCCAAAGGGATCGCGTCTGCCAGGCTTTCTCCAGAGATGGGCCCCTCCTGAGTGCGCCAGCCCCCACGTGCCTGGCTGCGCCCAGACCTACCTCCTCTGCCTGCCCAGGTGTCTGCGGCCCGGTGGGGTTTGTGTATCCCCAGCCCAGAGGTGGTCTGTGCGCAGTGGTGGGGAGGGGGCAGGGAGGTAGGGTCTCCTCCCTAGTCAGAAAGCGGGTGTGTGTGCTCCTGGCTCAGTTCTTGCAAAGCTCAGTAGTGGAGGTCAGGCCTCACTCCAAGTCAGCATTGGGCGTCTGTCACCCATAGGCCAGCGGAATGGTGACATAGGAGCCTTTTCTTTTCTGGCTGCAACTCCTGCTGGGGTAGGGAGGACACTGACAGACAGGTTTGGTAGTGTGAGGGCCCTTCCATGATGGGCTTGTCCACAAATGGCCCAGTCCCACTTTGTCCAGCCTGGGACAGAGCCCTCCCCCCCAAGGAGTGAACCCTGGAAGGGAGGGCTTATGACATTACTTTTGATCTTCCAGCCTGTTGAGGCTTCTCCAGTGGGCAGGGAGGCAGAGCAGGGCCTGTCTGGAACCATGGCCTTGGGCGCTGCCTGGCTGTGTGGCCTGTCTGGAACCATGGCCTTGGGCGCTGCCTGGCTGTGGCCTGGATGCAGACCCATGTAGCAAGGCTGCCCAAGTTCATGCCTGCAGACCCTGCACTATGTATGGCCAGTCTTCCACAGGAGGGTTGCCCAGAAGGACATCTGGGAAACTGAGGCCTGGAGGCAAAGAGGCTCTGGAGGCTGGCTAGTTGGGTCCAGTTGGGTCCTGCTGGCCTGTGACTAATGTGGGACCTGGGGAATGGTGTGGGGGAGGGCAGGCTGGGTGAACTCGCCGGGCCACTGGCTTTTCCTACTGACCAGTGTGAGGCAGCTGCAGGGCCAGGCTTCTCCCATGAGCCTGCCCTCGGCTCTGGTGGGGTCAGATGGGGTTTGTGGCTGCAGCTAAGAATAGGGAGGGGCACCACAGTGTCCTCACCGAAAGTGTCTTGGCCCTTATTCCCATGAAGATGCTTTCTCAGGCTGATGGGTGGTGGGGACTGGACCCCAACCTCAGCCTCTGTCCCTGCCTGTGTGGCCTCATGTCATCTGACTCCCCACCTGCACCCCCAGACCCTTCTAGACCCCAGGATGGGGGAGTTCAACGAGAAGAAGGAGACATGTGGCACTGTCTGCCTCAAGTACCTGCTCTTCACTTTCAACTGCTGCTTCTGGGTGAGAAGTCGGCCCACCCTGCTGGGGGGCTTGGCCCAGTACTGGCCAGACTTGTGAACTGTGTCCACTGCCTACAGCTGGCTGGCCTGGCCGTCATGGCAGTGGGCATCTGGACGCTGGTCCTCAAGAGTGACTACATCAGCCTGCTGTCCTCAGGCACTTACCTGGCCACAGCCTACATCCTGGTGGTGGCTGGTGTGGTGGTCATGGTGACGGGCATCCTGGGCTGCTGTGCCACCTTCAAGGAGCGGAGGAGCTTGCTACGCCTGGTCAGCAGGGCATGCCTGCCCCAGGGTGGGGGTGGCGAGGGCGTCCTGAGCTGTGGCTCTGGGCCTCTAGCGGGAAGAGGGAGTGGTGACTGGCTGCCACTCAGTGGGGTGGACACAGCCCTGCGATGTCCCTGTCCCACGCTGATTCCTGAGAAGGCAGGGGGTGTGGCCCCAGCCCCTCTCACTGCCTGGGCAGCCAGGCCCCCCCTCTGGGGAGTCTGCCTTGGCAGGGGTGTCTCACCAGGCCCCTGCCCCCCAGTACTTCATCCTGCTCCTACTCATCTTCCTGCTGGAGGTCATCGCTGGAATCTTGGCCTATGTGTACTACCGGCAGGTGAGAGCCAGCTTGGGGCACACACATACCCAGACACGTCACCACATGACGACAGGCTCGAGTCTGCAGGGACACACGTGGGCATCCAGGGACGTGCTTCTCACTGCCTGATTGTCAGGCTGTAGAGAGAGGGCTGGGACACACACAAAGAACACCCACACATAACCTGTTTGCTCCGGAACGGACCTTGTGTTGGTGGCCCCAGCAGGTGGGGCGGGGCCCCAGGGAAGCCCCCCAGCGCCTCAGCCCTCTGTGGGGTGTGCAGGGCTCGGAGCTCCTCCCACCTGCTGTCTAACCCAGCAGCCTTGGCGGGTCTTAGACACTGAGGCAAATTTGTATTCCTCTCACCCCCAGCTGAATGCAGAGCTCAAGGAGAACCTGAAGGACACCATGACGAAGAGGTACCACCAGCCGGGCCACGAGGGCGTGACCAGCGCAGTGGACCAGCTGCAGCAGGAGGTGGGCTCCGGGGGACAAGCCTGTACACAGGCTCCTCTAGACCCAGCAGGGAGTGTGCCCCCACACTGCTCTGGGTCTCGGACTCCTGCTGGCAGGGTGCAGACATGCTGGGCCGTAGGGTCCAGGCAACGTCCCCACAGTTCCCTCACCGTGACCTCACCTGTCCTGTGTCCCCAGTTCCCTCACCGTGACCTCACCTGTCCTGTGTCCCCA